TAAAATTTTAAAGATATCTTGAAAAGATCGTGTTATTTGGAATTATATTATATATATTTATAGGTATTTTTTAATTTATTTTCTACAATCACTCAAGATTCATATTTGATGTCAGACAAAAAGATTACCTTGGATATATTACATATTTTTATTTTAATTTATAATATAGTACTGTGCACGACATTGTATAACGCATATATTCAATTACATATATGTAAAAGTAACATTATTTACTCATTTATAGTGCAGAGAGAATATTGGATCTCCTACATTTCCTAGACGAACTCTTGTAGAATTCGAATGATCCGCTAAAGTGATGAACGCACTATTTTTAACTATGATTTATTCGAACGTTTATATCAACAATACGCATCTCATCTGCCACGTTATGCACGCATTCACGCATATCGGTCTGGAATCTCCTTATCTTCCTTCTGACACTCACTTAAAGGATGGTTGGAGAAAAAATCAAGCGAGTGCTCAAAGGCGACATATGACAAGATAATAATATTAAATAAAACTTATCCAGATTTAAGAGTAGTAAAATCATCAAAGTTTATCATTAGATCCGCCGATATAATCCACTTATTAATGATTAAGAAAAGCCGCGAAGATTGGAGTTACGACTCCGTTTAATTCGATGAGGGCGCGATTATATTTCACGCGTGTTATTTCACGCTTCGCGCGGCCGACAGGATGCTAATTACGAACGTTAGCGTGCAGGAAACCCGCTGGGTTGCCCTCTTGTTGTTCCATTTCCCCTTATTTTGACAAACGCGTGAGATTAGGCGAAGTGGCTGCGAGATCGATCGTTATTCTGCTTGATTATCGGCCCGGCAACGAATTAACGTGTCTCGAATATCGTCTTCCATTCTCGTTCGCTATACGTACCCTCCTCTCTTTGTCGCTCTTCCTTTCTTTGTTCGCCTTATTTACTTTGAAGCTCGGCCTCTCCCTGCATCCTCTTTTACGCTTGCAACCATCTTCCAGCCTCCCTTCTTCCTCTCCAGTCCCCTTTTCTTCACAGTAGCTCGTGACCAGTCAAGCGTGTAAAAGACTCCATACTTTTTCTAATCTAGCCGACAGAATAGAGTTGGGCACGATCGATCTAAGCAGCAATTTACATGTAAGCTATCACCCTTTGCATTCTTCGTGTCCGGTTGTAATTATGTTCGTACTGGGGAATAATATCGCTGTCTATCTTTATCAGAAAATATGTAATCGTTTATTCGATAATATACATTTTACAGTTAATTTCCAAGTGTCACGTCGGTGAATTTGTATTGGAGATATATTAATCTCGTTGTGGAAAAAGGAAAAAAAATCAAATGATTACATTCTAAAAATTATCGGTATGGATTTAACATCATATGATGTCTATATAATTCTCTGTTAATGTTAACATCAATACAGTAAGAATTATATAGATACGCATGGTATTAAAATCACACCGATATTTTTTAGAATGTACAGTTTTTACAAGTAATATTGTCAGGATAATGTAAAAAATAAAATTAAGAATTATAATATTAATATTAGAAACGCCAATGAAATCTCGTTAAAATTGCCGAAGACGTTAATTTGGTAATTTTCTATTCCTATTTTCGCCATAGTTAGTAAAAAATGTTATTTTGATATTACTTGTATCGTTAGAATTATTTATCTTATACTAACATATTTTTAATATTTTATAGATATTGTGTATCTAATACAAAAAAGAAAAAAAAATGAAATTAATAGAGAAATTCAAATGGCGATTCAATGTTGAATTCTAAGGTTGTCTTGTGTTACGCGATTAAAATTATTCGTGTAAAGGACAATATTCGCAATCGTCAGGAAATGTTATTGCGAGATGTATTAAAAAATCTATATGCCTTTTCGCCGCGAGAAACGATTAATGCGGCGATCGCCATTGAGCTTGCATAAGATTGGCTGCAGGAAGAGGGCGAGGCTCGTTCATCCTCATTTCTCTTTCTATCCACGTCCTCCTCTCCCTTCCTTTTCCTCTTTAGCTCTTTCCTGTATATTCACCGACCCGATAATCAGCCTCTGATAATTGAACGTCTTGGAATTGACGTCGTTCATGCCTATGTCACCGACGGGCGTCCGCCGTCAAACTTTTTCCGCGGGACACTGATACGCTATCTAACTACAATTACGGCGTAATTAAGAACGGTGAGGGGCGATAATTAAAGATTAAGATACTTGCCAGCCGGGTAGGAGCCTGCAGAAGTGACAACATCGCCGCAAGCGAGCCAGCTCGGCGATATTAAACCCCGCCTGGTACGAACTACACCGTGCCGGTGTAAAGTCGGCCATTGACTACTTGCGGATAATCGCTGAGTCTTGTACCCGCCTACATTAACTCCGAGATGCAATGAAGTATAAGATGAAATATGAGCAGCGAATGATAAACAGAAGATACATGAAAAAATAGTTTTGTTGAAATATTTAAATAATTAAATACAAACATTTAAAAAATGATTTTGTTCTAACTAACTACCAAACTACTAAACTACCAAAATAATTATGCATGTAGGACGCTCAAAAATGTTAAAACTTTTTATAGCTTTGTTATTAACATTTAAGCGTTCTACATAATTGTTTGATGATCTAACAAAACTATTTTCAGATTTATCTAACTAAATTTTTTAATACTTTACAAAAATTCTTTTTCTCCTGTACGCGTGATCGTCTACATTTAGATATAAGATTTGAAAAAATCAAATTGACTAGGAATGAAATACTACGACCATTTCGTTTTTATCAGAGAATTGTAATTCTCCAAATATATTTCCCTAATTAATTCCGTGTAATACGTTCAAAAAATTTGCAAGTTAATTCATATTCACATTTTCACATTATACAGTCGAGATTTCATTTAACACTTTTTTTAGTTCTTATCGCGTTTTATTACATTACGTGAGATGCGGAGATAATTTGGACAGGTGAAGTAATACGAGTAGAACATGTGGTTAGAAAATAATTACTGTTAAAGCTAGCGCCTCTCTTATTATAACATGGGAATATTTTCCTTGTATTTTCACTGCAATATTTGTTTAACAGCCTGTACAATAGAGGTGCATAAATTGTTAATTCCAAATATCTGGCTATCTCATTGAAAATAAATATGTTCCTCTTTTCATTTTTCTCACTATTTCTCTTCTGCCTTTTGACAGTTTATAATAATTCGTCTCAATTTTGTTAAATACCATTAGAACATGTTTTTCTAAACTACAATATTTTTTATTGTATATTACATGATGACGAGCGATAAAAATTAAATGAGATTAATATTGCAAAATTAATTTATGTAACAAAGGATAATTTTGAAATTACAAATAGATTACGAAACAACATATTACTGACATACTTGCTAAGCAAATCTTGTTATTTTTATAAGATTAATCTGTTTCAACGAAAAGATACTTTTACAGACATTAGATAATTTTAGATAAATATTTGCTTTAGCGTTTATTAAAATATATATATGTTTACATACAGTTCTGTGCCAAAGTATGTTTTTATATAGTATAAGTTTCAGCTCATGTTACACGCAAGCTGTACTACTTTTACACATTAATGAGTAAGTTACGAAGCAGCTATTTAATCGCTGCGGCAAATAATGCGAAGCGTATAATCGGGACGAGGACGAAGAAACAAAACTCTGCTTGTGAACAATGGGTTCGTTAACGGCGGCGCTTCATTAACTACGAAAACAAATTTTCTGGATGCTTTGCAATCATCGAGTCATTCAACTCCGCGCGACGTTTTGACGGCCCGACGGATGTCCGCGAATGCGAAGTTGTCGATACTTCTGTCGATACCCTCGCGCCGCGATTTGTTAAAGTTTCGCCCAAGGCCTACGCGCGATTTTAATCGCTATTCTCGCCTATGCAGTATCTCAAAGCTAATGACATTTATTGGAACTTAACATTAATATTCCGGAAGATATTATAGTTTCTATAGGATATGTTTACACGTATAACGATCTCTAACTGTAGTTCTTTCCCTCTCATGTTTTTCATCTTTCTTTCATCATGAATATTCGCCTGCAACTTTTATATAAATCTTGAAATTGTAAAAGATTGGATTGTAGTTGCATGTAAAATTCGCAACAAACTTTTTCGTTTGGTGAATGTTGCGTTACATGCACCGCGCAAAATTCCAATCCCGATACGAGAAATAAAAACGTTTGTTAAGCAAACGTTATTTAGCTCTCGCGTAACTTGTCTCTTTATAACTCGGTCACCGTCGGCGTTATTTTATTGCCCGGCGCGTCGCGCTCGTCCACTAACTTCCTAAAACGCCCCGGTTCGCGAAATTGATACGTAGATGGACCGTGTCGACTCGCGTTCATGAGAGGAAAAGAGAAAGAGAGAAAGAGAACGAGAGGGAAGCCTGGAGAACCGAAAGTAGTGTAAATCGAGCTTACAATCCAATCAGACAGCCCCCCTGACTCTGTTTCTCTTTCGAGCTCTCCGAGGTTCGTCAGACGCTCGAGGGAAGGAATGACGAAAGCAAGAGAAAGAAGAGGTCTAGGTCCAAGGCGCGCGCGCGCGCGTGTATGTGTGTGTGTGTGTGTGTGTGCGTGTGCGTGTGAGAGAGCGCATTTGAGAAGAGAAGGGTAGTAGCTGCGAGGACGATGATCAAGAAGAGGGTGGATAGTAAGGCAGAAGCGGCAGGGCCGCAGAAATAGCCTCGAGGATGGTTTAAGTAAGGGGCGGTATAGTTGTAGCAGAGGAGAAGGTGCCTCGTGATCCTCGTGAGAGGGTGGCAGGGACACGCAGATATTTCCGAGTACATTTTTGATGGGATTTTTAAATGAGCTCCAATTGCGTTAAACGCTACGCCTCTCTCGACTTAAGGCAAGATTTCCTTAAACGACGTTTCAGCCTCTCAGAGCCTCGGCGCTGTCTCGTTCCGGAATGAAAATTACCGGAGGTCGGCCCCGTCCTCTCCATGTCCTTATATCTGTGCTCGTTTTTTTCTTTCTTTTCTTTTTTTTTTTCCTTTTTTGCTCCCGTCGTCGCTTATGGCTATTTACCGTGTGCGTCGAGATATCAGTGACGTCAATTAGCTCCCAAATAATTTCCACCTGCGCAAACGCGCGAAAGTGTGTAAATATTTGATGAACATTCATAAATTCTTTCGATAACTAAATCTTAAATAAAAAATATTTGTTATCGAGAAATTCTTTCTGCTATTGAAATTATGAAAAAAATTTATTCTTATAGAAAAAACGTGCGATGTTTAGGACACCCTGTATATTAGATAAACTTGAGATTGCTCAAGAGCCCGATAAACATCATGCTACGTTATGCGCGTGAGAGTTCAGCATAAATTGCGTATAAATTACTCGAGGATATTCGAGACAAATTGAAACACGATCGTGAGATTGTTGCGCTCGCAATTAACAAGTTCTTTGCAATAACTTGCTATCATTTTTATAATAAAGATATTTATTGTATCGAGAAAATTTAACATGCAAAATGATGATATAGAAATCATGATATACAGAAAATTTATCAAATACAATTAAGAAGGCGGACGGAGACTAATGACAATATAGGATGATAACGGATGATTTCGTATAAAGTCAGTTGTTCACGTGAGATACGCGAGTGAAGATGAAGTTGGATAGAGAGGGGGGGGGAGGGGGGAGAGGGGGAAGAGATAAGGTGAAATAAATTGTGCCGAGTTTAAGCGTACTTTTACAGCGGCAATGGGACACGTCTTAAAACCAACAATGTAAAAACAAAGAAGGGTAGATGCGTCGTATCTACAATGAAGATACAGCTGCACCAACCGAGAGAGAAGTAATTCGAGAAGAAAATCCGCGCACACACACACACACACACACACACACACACACACAGCGCAATATCTCTATTTTTCACTCCCCCATTTTTTATATTTTCGAATAACTAAATCTTTAATTATGAACTTCTATTGCAGATTGCACGAGAGTCATAAAAATGGCTATATTTTACACTTACTTCGTGAATAAAAGATTGAACACAATTAGTTTCTAAGAACATAGATCAAGAATTCATAGAATATCAAGAATTCATAGAATTAATAGAATATCATAGAAATATATTTTAATAATATTTGGATAAATAAACTCCTAAACATTTCATATTTTTGGTGTATTGATATATACATAGGAAAAACATTTTTGCTGAAATATTTGAATATTTAGCTATAGATGCAGATTTGAAAACAATTTTGTCATCGTCAAAATAATTAGATAGAAAATTTAAACATGATGAGCAACAAAAAATTTCAATATTCTAACAATCAAGTTGAGTGTCCTATACAATTATTTTGATACGAAATTATTTTCAACAAAATTATTTTCAGATCTGTATCTACCTAATTTTTTAGATACTTCAGCAAAACCGTTCTTTCCATGTATGACTTTAATCGAATTTTATGTAATTATCTATTTTTGATAAAAATGTGATTCCTGCGTTGACCGAAAGTTTCTATACATATATAAAATGCGATACTTTTCCGTACAAATTTTTTCTACGTAATCGCGGATACTTTAATCTTGCGAGAGATTGCCGCTAAATACTCCAACGGAATGTACGACGCAAACAACGAGCAATGAATGCATTCAGTCATCAGAGAGCGCCAGAAACAGCTCGAGCGCAGTTAACTGCCACTTATCGAATTAGAAGTTTAACCGTGTCATGTAATTTCACCGCGGTAAGAACGTAATTGGCACTTAATCCCTCTAACGGGACGTTAACACGTAGCGGCGACGAACCCTTGATGATCCCCGTCATGTATCACGCGTAATGATGCATCCATTGGTAATGGACGCGATCCCAAAGATTCGCCGTTTAAAAATATTGACGCGTACATATTTTCATTCATATTACTGTCGTTGAGTTTATGCGTTTATCTTTTCGCCACCAAGGCAGTAATGTTACAGGAACTGCGTTCATGAAAGAAATAGAGAGAGAAAACGAGAGGAGGCGCAGGGAGAGAGAGAGAGAAGTCTGCAACGTGCTACGAAGATTCAATTTTGTAACGTTTGCTAGCACGTGCAGCGCGTTAATCTCATGACGCTTAAGCGATGAATTGTCAGGCAAATTGTCGTGTACCCGCTGCCAGTTCGGCACAATATTGCGTCTGGTTGCACTTGTGCAACACGTCCGATCAGTGCGCAGCATAATAAACCGCTTGGCTACTTTGTTTCATGATAATGGACGAGATCGAACCGAAGCTATATCGTGTAATCCCATTGACATCATTACAATTATCGTTATAAAGATCTGAGCTTATTATTAATTATATATAAAATGTTAATTCTTTTTTATATTAATGCGAAAAACTTTTTCTATTCTATCATTCTTTTAAGGTATTATAGATAATTCTTTCAAAATAAAATTATATAGTATGACGATACTCGTATATATATGTTTAAAAAATATGTATGTAATGTATGTTTTAAAACTAAATATTGATAACCAAAACTCTAGTAATTAAAATTTTAATACTTCTCTCTCTCTCTCTCTCTCTCTCTCTCTCTCTCTCTCTCTCTCTCTCTTTCTCTCTCTCTTTGATTTGTTCAAAAATTAAATTAATTTCAATTATTATTTTTTGTAATTATCGGTTTCATAACTATTTTAAATCATGATAATGCATCTGTAAGAGTAAGTTTGTGATATTATTTCGTGATTTACGGATCTCTATAGTTATGATATAATATTTTGTTGCGACGAAAAATGCCGCTTAGGATTGAAATAAATTTTGAGACAGGATTTTCGAAAGTTTTCACTAATCAGAAAGTCGTTTGTACGTTGCTGTTACGAGGATGCCGCTTAGAACCTGGAGATAGGTCTCCCAGAATTTGTGTTGGACGAGACACTCTGGTAAATTAGACTACTTTCTCAGTAACGAGCGACACAAGCGCAGAGGAAATGTTGGGCGCGTTTCTCTCGCTCGCGGACGGAGTCGCATCTGGCGCCGTTTGAAAACTTTTGCATTATGTCAGGCGCCAGTAACGCAAAATGCAGCTCGTGAAACGCGGACATAAACATCGTCGACAACACGAAATATACGGTGAACACGATCGTCTCGTGCTCAACTCTTAATAGCAAATGCATCGATCCTCTTTCGTCTCGATATCGTTTTTTCAAATCGAAAGACTATTTTATGAAAAAAAAAAATATTCCACACCGAATATTTTATTTGCTAAATTATGTACTAATAACTATTTGTTAGTATAAATTTTTGCAAGTAATAAATCTAAATTATTAAGTTTTATTAAGCAATAAATTTAATTGTGAGTAAATTTAATTTTCACAATTATTTTTCGATAGATAGGATTTCACTAGAATATCTTCTTTATGAAATATAATGCACAATGTAAAAACTCAATTGCAATTTCCTTTCCTTATTAGATGATTATTGAAGTATTTCGTAGTAATTTCCTAATTTTAGGCGAAATAATTAATATGCAATTAATAGTATCATTCAAATAAAAATACTACTGAAACAAATATATTTACACGAATGACAGATCGAATCCAAAAATTGTACTTATCAGATAGCTGACAACCAGCTAAAGATTCTCAGCAGCTCTGTCATAGTGTTCCATCAGCCACTCGAGGTTGATGTCTTTGTTTATTGTAATTAACATTACATCTAATAATAAATTGCTGTTTACCTGCTAAATCCACCCTTCCACTTCGATCGTCTCGAGCGTTCCAACCACGACGAGACTTTAGTCTTTTCAGGAGAAAAAACCCGCTTGTGTGTGTCTCGAGTCACCGGCCCCAATAGTCACAGGTAGTATCAACCCTCTCGAGTGTAGGCGCGAAGGTACGCGACGACAAGAGTGGCGGGTCAGTGGCCCGAACTCGTCGAACTCGTCGTCGTTGAAAAAAAAAAAAAAGAAATCCGTCCGTCGACGTTGGATGCAGGATGCGCGAGAGAGCGTTCGAGAATCACCGGGTACGTGCTTTCTTACGGGAGTTTGGCGCGCGACTGTGCTACTGGGGCCAACCCCGGCCGCCATCAACCCTCTTATGGCTCTGTGTCCCTACGCGTTTCAACCCCTCCTCACTACCCTCGTTCTGTCTTCGTTCTCCCCTTTTACTCTCTCCCTTTCTTCCTCTCTCCCACGTTCTCTGTACTGCTCTACACACCCCACCACCTTCATCCCCACCAGAATGTCGAGCGTGACAATCCTTCTCTATTTTCCTTCTACCCTCTAGGATCTTTTCCTCCTTTTTTCTCTCATAGTATCGTTCTATATCTTTTTCTCTTTCTCTCTCTTTCTCCTTTCCTTCGGGACTGATTTTCTATCTTTTTCCCACTAATGGTCTATTTTACTCTATCATTCTCTCAACCACCCCTTCCACTTATTCGTCGTCTCACTTTATCCTTCAGCCTCGCAGAGCTTCATTACGACACCTTTCGCCCCCGTGAGTTGTTTCATCCCCCTCGTCGCGACCATCAGCCGTCTCGCTTCGACGCCTTTGACCACTCACAGGGTTATCCCATCGTTCGCTGGATCTCTGCTTTCTCTCGTTTCTACGGCATCTCTCTCTCTCTCTCTCTCTCTCTCTCTCTCTCTCTCGTTTTCAGTTTCCCCTCATTCGCCTCGTCGTCTATCTCTGTCTAACAAAGTGCAACCCCTTCCTGTCGCGGAATCACCACCGACATGGACCGGCGCTTAGCGCCGGCGCGCCCGCCACGATTCAAAACTGCGGTTAGAAGGGGTCGGCGGAGATAAGGATGCGTCCTAAATATAGCGACGTGGTGCTTAAGACACCCCCACCTACCTCGAACACCCTTACTCAGTCTTATAAGCGCCTCTCTTAGTCGCGCGCTCGGAATTTCGCCAACTTTTTTCACTACTATAATGAACGTGTATTCGCTTTCTTATTCGTTGTGAAAAGAGATAGATGCGTTCCTAAAAAATTTGATATTGTCATATGACAAATAGACTTCATTAGATTTTTGGAGAGTTGTTTGTACAATTTTTTCCAAGGTTTAGTTTAAATGAGGAAAGTTTAAGAAAACTTGAAGTTGATTTAATTGAATTTAATTCTTAATCATTGTTTATCTCTAAAGATTTTCTTGGTCAGTGTTTATTTTTAAAGATTTTATTCTGAATATCATGACATCGAAAAGTATTACGTTTATACATAGTTCATTTCTTTGTGTCTTTAACAGTAAAAGCTGAATGCATCAAAGAATCATTGTTTTCCAATCTTCTCAGTTCAAACATAATGCTGCATGCACTTGAATGAGTGATCGCTTATCAAGGCCAATCGGAGATGAGGATAATATCTGCCTGCCAGGATGTAGTTAATAAGAAACGCATACGAGGTATACGGAGTAGCGAAATGAAGTATCAGCGTGCGCGTCGCGTCGCGTCCTAGCTTGCGTATAAATAAGGACAGGCTAAGCCCCGTTCTGGCCTGTAATTACGACGGAACTAAGCCGGGTATTCCGTGGATCGGTGATCCTTCGTACCTGTGCGACGCTGAGGATCTCCGCTTGGCCGAAACCAATTTGGAATTAATGTAACGTCCTGCGGAATTAACGTGGTGGAGTCCTGCCGAACGGAAACGGCCCGATCCTTGACGCGAAACTTTGTCGTAAAAAATTCACAAGAGCCAATGCATCGATAAAATCGAGATTTATTTTTTGCTTAGACTTACACGCCAACACGATTGTACTGTATCTAGAACTTATTTTTTTATAACTCTTTGTACGATGTGATTTTTATAGGTATATAATTTTTTTTATAGAATAATTTTCTATAGAATGTCACTCATTTTTTTATATTCCTAGTAAAGATGTAAAATTATTACCTTACTATCGGTTAAAAAAAAACAGTAAATTTTACAGCAAAATAACACGAAGTTTAAATTCCAATTAAAGCGATATATATATTAGGTGTTGGAATTAATTCGTAGCGTTTTTTAATGAAAGAATGTTATTTATTTCACATGAGCATTAAAAAATACATTAATGAAAGTACTTCCCATCACTTGTAAAACGCTACGAATTAATTCCAACACCTAATACTATATATATATAGTATATGTGTGTGTGTGTGTATATATATATATATATATAGAGTATTGTCAATAATACACCGCTTTACAACGTCTGTTTTGCTCGGCTTTGGTTATTTCTTTTTTATTTTTCCTGAGCAATCGAGTTTTATTCTCTTTTCTTTACTTTTATATTGTGTGTGTGTTTTATTATGTAATACATCATCACTAATTAAAGTCGATGAGTTTCATTGTAGAGAAATATACATATAAATCAGTGGCGAGTTCTACCCCGCTTCTAACAAATGTGAATCACGTTATTGGCACGGTTTACTGCACAGATTTGTGTGCGCGAGCAGCAGGGTACGTGGATTATTACCACGGGATTAGGTCTTGGACAGAGATACATTAAATGAAAGGCAACATCAAGGGGCCATAAGTACGTCGACGTAAACTAACGTCTAACATTCAACAGCCCGTTTTCGCATTTCGCAGTTTGTCTAGAACACATTTATACTTATATATTACGGAAATGGTGTAGGTTTCAGAATAATAGCGGTATTATTTTGCCTTGTATTTCTGATTTGTTTATTATTTTTGGCTCTTAAAATAAAGTACTAATAATGCTTATAAATCAATCTGTCGTTGCATAAAAACTGGTAACATAAATTATACAATTTTTGTTATAGAGAGAGATGATTAATCGTTTTATGAAAGAATTGTTAAACATGAAAGATTCTTTTTAGTGTAATCAGGCGTAAGGGATTAAAAAGGTAACTTAAAGGGATTGGTTTCTTAAAATAATCAAGCTCTATATATATATATATGTATATATATTTGAGGAGTCACAAAGGATATTTATTTATACGTATCATTAGTGTTTGGTAAAAAAATCTATTTACTAACACACTAAATCTCTGGTGACTTCGTCTAATTAAAGATAAGTAATCGAAAAATATAGTCAGGGTAAAACGTTCTAATAATGGAATTTGCTAAAAAAAACTACGAAGTACAAGAGGGAATTACTAAGTATATTTTAAGATCGAATAGACACTGCAGGAGGATGCGAGCAATTACAGAAGTATTTGTAAGTACAGCATTTCCAGACAAAGGATAACGAGAATGGCGTTAAACGGATCCAATCTGTTCTTCGTTAATTTCCGTCTTGTTAATCATTATCAGAATGAAAGCCCTCTTAGAAAAGGTGTATGGATCCCCGGCTGTTGACCAGCCGCTGTATATTAAAGCGTCGTGAACATCAAACGGCCATTGAGTTCGTCAGACGACTGAATAAGATGTCACGAATTAAAGCCATATCGCGGTAGTAAAAGGGTTTCTCTCCTGCGTGGCATTAGGCTACTATTGTTTCACCAATGAGGACGACGACGATGAATTCTCACGAAGTTAAAGATATATATTTAAATGACTGTCAGTCAAATGTCGCATTTAATGTATTACTATAAAATATTAATGTTAAGTAATATATTGTTTTCAGTGTTCATAGGACGATCGGAGAAATCTTATTTTTTTGATAAGACAGACTTTGTGAATACCACTCAACACACAATAATATTTATTATAATAATATTGAGGACATTCAAACTGTTTGAATGGTATAAAGTTATATTATTATTATATTGTTATTATTATTATATTAGGTGTTCCAACACCTAATATATTATCGTTTTTCGCAATTATATTATATAAATGTTTTATTTTAATTTTGTAAAATATATTAAATGTAAAAAGTTTTTCTTAAGAATACCATAAACAAAATACCGAAAGCGTAGTGATAACAAAATATTGTGCATTTCGCAACATAAGAAAAATAAAACGACAGATATAATTAAACGGATACGCGCGAGACTCCAATTAAAGTCTCGTCCTAAATTCATCGTTCGAAGTACCTCTGTCGAAGACGAGGAGTCACAGCGCGAGGCGATGGGGTGGCGAAGGGTGGCAGGAAGATTTAATTCGCTTTCGATTTAATTTGCCGTGAGGCAAACCATTGTTTCGGCTGATCCGCGCGACAAAATGCGCGCGCGCTCAGAATCGACGGCCGATGAAAATGAAATTAGGAATGCGAAAAGAGGGAAAAAAAGAGGATGCGCACGAGCCGTAACGTGCGAGAGGAGATCGCAGGAAAAAAAAGAGAAAGATAGAATAACGATAAGGCTAAAAGAGGTAAAAAGAAAGAGAGAGAAAGCAAGAGATAATATGTGAATGTGTGTATGAGCGTGCGTGCGTGCGTGTGTGTGTGTGTGTGTGTGTGTGTGTGAGAGAGAGAGAGAGAGAGAGAGAGAGAGAGAGAGAGAGAGAGAGAGAGAGAGAGAGAGAGAGAGAGAGAGAGAGAGAGAGAGAGAGAGAGTGAGAGATGTACCAACCCCCTTATCCGATAGACCGACACGTACTAAACCCTTTCCCCCCCGTTGACAGTTTACTCGCGGTTCGCTTGTCATCGGCAAAGATACAAAGATAATTGGTCATTGGGGTATGCCATCGCGCGGGGTGAAGCGAGATAGACGAAACCAAGTACTTTGAAGAGGGCAGGTACTTTGAGCAGATTTGCTTTGGCCGTTGTTTCGGGCTTGTATTTTAGTTTAGATCAAAAGACTGACGCCACTGACCAATTCAGCCGTATCTAAGCTGTCGCCTCTTCGTCCTACCATTGGCAACCTTTCTCGTTTTCTCTATCTCATCGCTCGTCGTGTGTCGTGTCTCGCGTTGTTGTACAACGGATCCTTGTCCTCTCTCAAGTTCGCCTTTCCCTTTTAACGACAGATTCTTTGACGGATTTGCAGTCTACTTGTCTTGGGCGAGCCTTAATTATATTCGATGATATTTAGGATCCAAATAGAGCTAAATAAAATTTCAGTATTTATTCAATATCGTTGTGTATATGTATACTAGAAATAATGCATTATAAATAATTCGGTTTTAGTTATAAAAAAAATTATGGATTATATTTCATCAAATCTGATTATTATTACGTTATTATTATGTTATTTCGGAGTATTATTTTTTTTTTAGCGTGTATCGTTAATTTATCATTAAAATTACCAGGTATTTTCTATGAATAATATTAAATATTGAAAAATTTCCACTAAAAAATTTCCACAGTTGATTCATGACGTAATTGAATATATATATAGTAGCACAAATGCAGATTAGAAATATAATATTAGCACTCATATTTTTTGAAATACTGCTTGAAAACT